GGGCGACAAAGATATCATCTTCTTTAGTCTCATCCCTGATTCGATAAAGGAAGTCAAGGTCCGGTACCATAGACTTGGTATTCTTTATGGGCTTGCAAGTCCAGGTGGCCGCCCTCTTTTTTATTTTCACCTCGGAGTCCGGGGAGCCCGTGGACTATCTCTTTTTGCTTCTTCTCCTCCTTTGCAGCAGCCCCGGGATGTCCCGTAATGGAGGTATCAACGAATATGGACGTTTCCCCGTCCCCTTCTAGTGGCCTAAGTTCGGTGGTCTTAGGCAAACCTTGGAAGGAAAAAGAAAAGGTCAGCATTATGTAATTTTGCGGCATAGTAATAACTATTCAGAAGAGAACCTTACCATGAGAAAGGGCCTCCCATATGCCCTTTGAAAGTTTGCGCAATGCGCGCTCGAAGTATGACATCTGGTTGCAGATTCCTTCGATCCACTCCTTGAGCTGGAGGACTGCATTGGGAACCCGGGCAACAGCTGCACGACCACAAATACTGATGATGAGAAAGAAAATGAAGGAAACTTGATACTTAAGTAAAGGCTACACTTACGAGATGCATTCCACATCTCGGGAAATGGCAAAAATTTGGGAGGGATCAAATCTTCAGTTTTCACCCGAACAAAGTGCCCCTGCCAGCCTCGGTCTCGATTCTCATCGATGCTCGAAAAGGGAGACTTGCTGGCCCGGCGAGTGAGCTTGATTAGTCCCCCTCAAATAATTTGGGGACTGTACAGACGGAGTGGTGGTCGAGGGTGAACCGAGGAGATCCAGTGTTGTTCACAAAATAACATAGGAGGATCATGATCCTCCAAAGAGACGGGTGGAGTTGCCCAACGAACACCTCATATATCTTGCAAAAGGCCAAAACTACTGGGTCTATCGGGCCCAGTATGAAGGGATAAGTGTAAACACTTAAATACCCCTCCACATGAGTAGTAATATCGTCCTCAGGCCAGGGGACAACCACGTCTTTGCCTTCCCATTTACAGTCCTCTCGGGCTATGGGAATGGTATCTTTAGTAATGAAGCATATGTATCTCCATGCTTCTTCACCCTGATCTTGTTTGGATGAGGCCTTCTCGACTTTGAAGTCGTCTGCCGTTGAAAAAACCCCGGGTATAAATCTTTTAATGGGGGGCAAGAGGACCGCCTCTAGAGTAGCTACCTAGGTAGCAGCAACCCCGGGAACAACCACCTCAGAAGCAGCCACCCCGACATCTGTGGCCGGGTGGGAAGATGAAGGGGCAGCCGGCTGAGGAACCGATTTGGAAGATTTAGTCATCGCAATCTAGGAAATGTATGAAGATTTGAAAAATGCGTGAAGATTTGAAGGTTAGAAATGAACCAATGAAGTTTTAGGTTGAAAATCCAAGAAAATATATGAAGGTTTGGAGGTTGAAGACGCAGATGTGAAGATTCAAGAAGCGAGGTATGGAGATCAGAGAAAGTTGAAAGCCTTTGTAAAGTTCGAAGGTTAGAGCTAGGATCAGAAAGTGAAAGAAGTGATGGGGGCGAAGCTTTTATAGGGGCAAATACGCAACAAGGTAACCAGCCGATGATCGACATATGTCAGAAGTCAGAACGATGCGACTGATAGGAAGTTTCGGCTTATCCATCATCTCGGTTGTAATGTGCGACGGAAGGAATCGGGGTTCATTTATCATTGTCGTTTCGGCAAACCTACTCTCTGGGAAACGAAGGGACTATCTGTATACGGGTAAAATCGGGACTAATGAGCACCCCGATTTTCCGGTGGGTCAAACGAAACAAGGATATGACTACATAAGATCGGAATCGAAGCTGGAAACTTCTCGTACTAAGGCCCGAACGAAGTGCTCGCCATCGGGTCTGATAAGACAACACTTTTCCGAACCCGGAACAAGCTCCGAGTCCTCGAAAAACACAACAACAATTGCACACGACTAACAGAGGGCCGTGATATCCGCACTCCACCGGATATCACGGTGCAGATCTCGCCCGACGTCGGCAGCGGATCAGTAATTGACGAGAAATGAGGATTTTTACCTTTTTAGAACTGTACTAGGGATGAAACTCTCCTACTATATAAAGATGACGTTTTTCTTTAATAAGACACATTGTAACACGCATACCAAGACAATACAAAGTTATTTCTCTGCTTCTAGTTATTGCAAAGTCTTGACCTTATTTTTGTTACCGAGGGCAGAAATTGTTGCCTAGTCCAAGTTCAAGCTAGGCCATAATGTTACGACTGATTTGATTGTTCATTGTGTCTTTAACTCATTTATTTAACATTCTTGATTATTTGTGTTGAATCAATCCACATATCTTTAAAATTGCGTATAAATTCAATTGTTATCTATTTTAAGGGTAAACCAAATTTATCACGGGAGTTGTTTAAGTTTTATCTCTAAAATAATCAAGCCATGCCCCTAACGGAACGCCACTTGAAATTTAGTTTAAGGATAAGAGCGACCGATATGCCCATATCTCTATCAGTTTAATATTCAAAACCATAATAGGCATTGGATAACTCTTATTGTTGTCTAGTGTCTGCTGATTCACAAGATCAACAAGAGTTCTTCAACGATATTATACTAGTAAATATCTTTGAACAAATCAAACAAATAAAGAAACCACAAATTAAACAATCAATTATTTATGCATGGATATGTCCCCATATGTTTCCAGAAACATGTCAAATCAGCTTATGGAAAAATCGTTCTGGAATACATATGGACAATACACAAGCACCAAAAAAGAAACAAATTAAGAAGAATAAAAAAGTCATACTGTGTGCTGCAACTATTATAGCAAATTGATGATACAACTTCCAATGAAAATAGACCCTTTTTTCAATATTTAAATGACTTCTTGCAAGTTAGCCAAATCAACTTGGAGAGTTACTTTAACAGCATAAAAAATAAATATAATGATAATTTTACCCAGAATTAGAAGCAAAGCTCAAAGGAAGCTCTATATTATATGCTTTACGAGCTCCCAAGAGTCGCATGACAAAGAAGATCTTATACACAAGTTTCGTCTTTCTTTAATTACTGAGAGTGAAGGCATTCACTCATTGTTTTCTTCCAGACTCTCTATCCTGACAAACTAAACTTGCATTTGCCTAATTTGGCCCCTCCATTGTAATATATATATATATATATATATATATAGTGTCCCGGTTGGGTGGGAGGTCATTTGTTCCTTATAGGCAATACTCACGATCCTCACCTCTTGAACTTTAATGTCCATTTTTTATCAATATGTTTCTCCTTTATGTACTTTCCATTTTATAATGTTGGATCTGAATTCTATCCACCATTTTTAAGCCAGAAAACAAAGGACAATTCCCAGTTCCTCTTCTTTTCTCTGTTCAAAGGAAAGGTTTTTAAGCCACCGTTGTGATCAACATGCAAATCACTAGGGTTATATGTTGTTTCCATTCTTATCTATTCTTGGAAATTTGTATATACGTAGATAAAGTCCTTATGGATATGTGTGAACGAAGTGCCACGTGTAAAAGCAGAAAAAAAAATACGTTACTTAATTATAAAAAGTTAGTATACTTTTAATGGTGTGAGGTCTATTGGAAAAAATTGTGTGGGCTTGACTCAAATCGGACAATATAGGAAAAAAATTAAGATTTACAACTAGTAATTGAAAAATAGTCACAGTGTCAAAAATAATCTAAATTCAACTACATTTACATAACAACAGCCCAGTATAATCTCACTAGTGGGGTCTGGGGAGGGTAGTATGTTCTGTTTCCGATAGACCCTCGACTCCCTCCCTCCGAGAACTCCCACCTTGCTCTTGGGGTGACTTGAACTCACAACCTCTTGATTGGAAGTAGAGGGTGCTCACCACTAGAGCAACCCACATTTACATGTAAAGATAAAATCTGAACAAGAACATTCTTAAAAATCCAGAAAAATTCTAGCATAATTTGTTGAAGTTCGAATTTTTTACATATGAGATTAATTCCAACATAATGTGGTGAATTTCCAACATAATATGCTGGAAGTTTATACGCATGAGCTCTATAATCCAGCATATTACTCTGGAACTTTCTGTACGCGGGAGCTCCAACATAATATGTTGAAAGTTTATACGCAGGAGCTCCATAATCCGACATATTATGGTAGAACTTTTCGTGTTTGGGCAAAACAATATTTTTCAATGACTTTGCAAATAATGACTGTTTTTTAATTACCAATCCGAAAACTGACTAATCCGTACTATTTTTACTATCACACCATATTAAGAATATTTTGGGGCGTTTTAGTCCAACATCTGCATATCTCTATTAGTATATCTCTATCAGTTCAGTATTCGAAACCCATTGTGGACGATTCTTATTGGTTGATGTCTAGTGCATGTCCGCTGATTCATGAGATCGACCAACAATAATTTTCTTTCATAGAAATACTGAAAAGCTGTTTGAACAAATCAAAAAGAGACAGAAACCACATACTATTAAAAAAAAAAAGAANAAAAGTATTTTAAGGACTTATTGCCCATAATGCATCGACTTGGGTGAGATACAGTTAAAGCATAAAAAATAATTCATCCAGAAACAAATAGGTCAAAAACAGTTCCACTATGCTTTACGAGCTCCCAAGAGTCATTTGACAAAGAACTTGATCATTATCAGGGTTGTGTCGAAATAGATGTGATATCTTTCTTTTTAATTAACAATCTGGAATTCATTTTCAATGACCTTGTGTAACTCGAAAAGAAGATAAAAAACCTTCATCGGACACAATTAACTTCGTCAATTTTTTTATAGAGAGTGAAGGCGTCACTATCCACTCATATTTTTTCTTCTAGACTCTCCAGCCTGACATTTTAGACTTGCATTTGTTTAATTTGGCCCCACGCAATTGTAATATTGATCTGTTACGTTTCTCCATTATGTACTGTACATCTCTCACTAGTTGATTTAAATTCTATCCACTGGAAACGTAAACATCTTTTATATATATATATATTGATGGTCTATTTTATAAAGTCGACCAATAATTCTGAAATAATATATGTAGCTTAAGAATATGGTAAAAAGTGGAGCCAGGTGCGTCTTTACTTTAAACCCTATTCCCTCACCTGCTCATAACAAATTATCCACTTTGATTTGCTTCGAGATTTAAATTGTTTGAAAATCTATATTTTTCGGCTCGAAGAAGTGTTTAGAATAATAGTTTACTGAAAAGTATTACGTAAATAGTTACCATTATTGCTTTATAACAAGAAAATATCATTTTTACGGAGATATGTGTAGGCATTGGGACTATATTTTTGAACTGGTTGTCCAGACAAGTACAATATGTCTTTTGTGTCTTATTCGACATATAAGTGTCACCAAGAGCATTAGCTCATTTACTTAAGAGTGTCGTGCTAATAACGCGAAGGTGGAAAAAGCAACGTGACAAATGCAAGCCGTAAGTTTACTTGACCTTGCAAGAGGTTCATTTAGCTTGACGGAGCGGCGGATCTACGTGTAAGGGATGGGGCGGTACTCACCCGTAGAGTTTGGCCCAGACTATACAATAGTATATAAAGATGCATGTATATAAAGAAGGAAGGTATACAAATAATTTAAGTGGCACCCCTAGTAACTTAATGATTCAAGTTGCCACGGGAAAGACACTGTCATTTTCACTCCTGTGGCGGGAGATCGAGTCCAGCTTGGCACAAATTTTTTAGAAACCTTTCTTTGGTGCATTTAACCGCTACAAATTCCTTTGTTTCTTCTTTGGTTTTAATAGTTTGTTTTAAAAAAAAATCTCCTTTTTTTACTTTAAACATTAAATATAAAAATATATAAAAAAAATTCTTTCACAAATCTATTTTTTCCTCGTGAAAAGAAATCCCCACTATTGCGCTTTCCCAACTCCTCCATAATTTATGAATATATGATAAACAAATTCATTTTTTTCTCAGCACAACTTCGCAAATCTATTTGCCGAAACCAAAAAATATAAATAGAAATCCTTGAATAAGTTACGGTTCTAAATAAGGATGAAAGTTTATTTTGTTATCAAAATGCTCTAAAGTAGGACAATTGTATATAATATCGAGTGAGCTTAATTTTTATAAAAAAATAGTAAATTGAATAATGTCTATAAGCTTACTTCTCTTTTAATATTTACACTTATTAGTATAAATTTCTGCCTTGAGTATCCAAATATAAATGGATAACAAACCTTTTTCTTGTACAAAATGTATACTCCAGTTGAATCTTTTTTTTCAAGTTATTATAATTATAATATTTTTTTTGCTTGATCGATATGTCTATATTAACCTTAAAAACGAATAACCCGAACCGAAATCCAAATAAACCAAACCGATTAAATTTATACCTTATTTAAATAATGTAAATTGTAACATGGCTATGTTCAAAATTTGTGGCACCCGGAGTCTCTAAATCCTGGATCCGCCTCTACTTTACCCTTTTCTCGTACACTAATTATATCTTGAATTTACTTTCCGAGTAAACTTCAGTTCTGATAGGCTAGTGTAGTTTGCTGAAGTGTGAATTCTGTCTTCTCAGAAGCTGAAATCACCATCTAAATGATCATTAACAGCTACCTATGTTTGCATACTTTACAGGAAAAGGAGGAGAGCGAAAATACGAATTCAGTAGCTTGCTTACAGTTACTGGTGCCTGCCAAAACAACTACTAGTAAAAGATAAAGCCCATACTCACAAGTATAGAGACTTGATAATTAAACTTTGTTGATCTATTTGGGCAATGTTTATAAACTGCATCGTATAGAATTGTTTGGTTAACTAATCTCACTTTCATATTATGATTACGTTACTCTGTATAAGCCGGACAACGAGCGTTATCTGATTTCTCTAATCCCTCAACCAAAACATAACGATTATCTTACATACAAGCAAATCCGATGATAAATGCGCTATGATCTACCACCAAAGATGACATCAAATGAAATCCTCGTTCACTTTATGACTTCTTTAATCATTTCAAAATGTTGTATAAGCACTTGGTCAAATTGTCTAGTGCTAGTAATTCCTAAAGAAATTCTTTCAAAACTAGAACTTTGAATTCAAGGAAAACTGACTATCTGATTTCATCATTTACTTAAATTGAAATTTCAACATGCAATTCTAGGTCCAATAAACAGTTTAGAATATCCACATTTTGAATCTCGATCTAATTCTAGCATGAGACTCATTTTGGTTTAAAAAAGATTTATTTTTCAGTGTATACTAAAAAGTTCATAAACAAAGAGTTATTGCTATGTTCATGGATCAAAATATATTTGTAGAAAACGAAAGGTAGAAGAGTGGAGTATTGACCATGTAAAAGAGGTGGCAATTTAAAAATTGATGAACGGCTTTCTTTTATTATTAGGGAATTGCAGCAAGCTCCAAAATGGCGGTACGTGCTACAAGCACTCCACTCTAGAATGTGTTTTGATACAAAGTGATATATTTTGTATACGGTCGAAATAGATTTCGGCGTTCGTATGATTGATCGAGGTCGAAACATAATGGATCGAAAAAAGACTTCGTAATATCGAGATGGATTCTGAAGATGATATGAACGAGCTTCAGATTTCAGGTATAGGTCGAATACCGAGTTCGAAGTCACTATCGAGCTCGAGTCCAAATCGAACTATGATGAGATGATTTCGAGCTTAAGGGGTGGAGGCCAACCGATATCGAGCCCGTATCATCACCTGATTCCGAGTCCACATCAAGCTCTAGAAGCAATACCGACCAGCATCGAGGCCGATCGAGCTCGAGCTCACAGACAAGAGCCGTTGCAAACACACTAGGGGAGAGAATCTCGGCAGAAATTAGAGAAAAGCTAATTTATCATGGGTTCTCCACTAGACATTTTTAATTATATCTAAAGTAGGATCCTCCACTATAAAGAGGATGGCTACATTTCTGTAGAAGGCAGTTTTTTTGGCTTACATTGTAATTCAAGCACCATATTCTCTTATATTCAAGAGTTACTCTTTTAAGCTTCATAAATTGATTCATTTTGTTTAGTCCTAAAAATCATCTTCTTTACAAACTTGTTTATTTTGCATTCTTTACAATCCATATTTGATATTCCTATTTATCCTTACGATTTGTATTAATCTATATCATATATCCTTAGAACTATGTACAAATTCAACTCCATTGGCTTTTCGGGTAAACAGTTTGGCGCCCACCGTGGGGCTAAGGATAACAGTGGTTATTTGATACGAATCTGCAAAAATACACCGTTTTGCGCTTGTTTCCGAAAGTATCTCGGATTTCGGATTAGCAGCGACTAACTACCAATCAAATGGCCTTACCTGTCAACAACGAAGCTGGCCTTCAAGATGAGAACAACTTGACACCCAGTACCGAAAGACCACTTGTCAACGCCGTTGGAGCTCGGATCGGAGTGCCGATATATATTAATTCGCATATGGCCATTGAGGCGAACATATATTCTGAACCTGAAAATAGCATTTATGGTGGCACTTGGTCTGCAGCTCGGGACACCCATAACATTGAGGAAAATGGCGTGAGCTTGCGTATGATTTTTGAAATGTTGCAAGCCTAACAGGTAGTGATAGCTCAGTTGTAGAGCCGAACCCAGCTACCAAGCAGGCCGGAGCCCAGTCCACCCCAAGAAATTGCCCACAGAACGAAGCCAGCCATAGTGAGGTCAAATGAGCAAGAATCAGGGACTACTTCCGAAATCACTAAAATACTCGAGGAGCTCACAAAGCGAGTCGAAGCCAACGATAAAAAAGTAGAAACATATAATTCCAGGGTCGATCAGATCCCGGGGCTCCACCAATGATAAAAGGGTTGGATTCCAAAAAATTCGTGCAAAAGCCTTTTCCCTCGAGCGCATCCCCAAAACCAATCCCCAAAAAATTTCGTATGCCCGAAATTCCCAAATATAACGGAACGACCGATCCCAACGAACACGTCACCTCTTACACGTGCACTATCAAGGGTAATGATTTGGAGGATGATGAAATCGAATATGTATTGTTGAAAAAGTTCGGAGAGACCCTCTCGAAGGGAGCAATGATTTGGTATCACAACCTACCACCGAATTCGATCGACTCATTTGCCATGTTAGTAGATTCTTTCGTAAAGGCACATGCCGGGGCCATAAAGGTCGCAACGAGGAAATCAGACCTTTTTAAGGTAAGACAAAAGGATAACGAAATGCTAAGGGAGTTCGTATCTCGTTTTCAAATAGAACGAATGGATCTGCCACCAGCCACAGACGATTAGGCTGTTCAGGCTTTCACTCAGGGTTTGAACGAACGAAGTTCGACGGCATCACGACGACTGAAGCATAACCTGATCGAGTACTCGGCTATCACTTGGGCCGACGTGCACAATCGGTACCAATCAAAATTTAGAGTCGAAGATGATCAGTTGGGGGCTGAACCCGCTGCTCGGAGGGATATCAATCGAGAACAAGGTCCGATCAGGGATTGATATCGACCGTATAACGGAAACCACAGAATCAATGAATCGATACGTAACCCCAGACAAATAAACAAAAGAAGTGATCGAGGTCAAGGGTCTCGGGGGCTAATGAATAGAAGTGGGTTCGATTGGCCTACCAGGCCTAAAGAAGCATCTCGGTTATCGGAGTATAACTTCAGCATTGATACATTCGCCATCGTGTCGGCTATCAAACGCATCAAAGACACTAAATGGCCTCGACCCATGCAGACCGATCCTGCCCAGAGAAATCCCAATCAAATATGCGAATATCATGGAACCCATGGCCACAGAACGGAAGATTGCAGACAACTAATTGAGGAGGTAGCCCGGTTATTCAATAAAGGGCAACTTCGAGAATGTTTAAGCGACAGGGCGAAGAACCATTTCAAAAACAGGGATTTCGGCAAGCACAATGAACGAGAAGAACCACAACACGTCATTCACATGATCATCGGCGTCGTTGATACCCCTCAAGGGCCGGTGCTAAAACGCACTAAGATATCGATTGTGAGAGAAAAGCTATCTCGAACTCAGGATTACGCACCCATAGGAACTTTGTCCTTTAATGATGAAGATGCAGAAGGAGTCATACAACCTCATAATGATGCACTGGTAATATTCGTACTTATGAATAAAACTAAAGTTAAGCGTGTGTTAATTGATCCAGGTAACTCAGCCAACGTCATTAGATTGAAGGTTGTACAATAACTCGGTCTACAGGACCAGAACGTACCCGCGACCCTGGTCCTAAATGGATTCAATATAGCATGTGAAACCACCAAAGGCGAGATAATTCTGCCGATAAACGTGGCCGGGATCATCCAGGAAACGAAGTTCCACGTAATCGAAGGCGACATAAGGTATAATGCCATTTTTGGAAGGCCATGGATCCACAACATGAGAGCTGTACCTTCGACCCTACACCGGGTTCTTAAATTCCCAACATCGAGGGGGATCATGACAGTGTACGGAGAGCAACCGACCGCAAGAGAAATGTTTGCCGTTGAGGAAGCGAATCTGATATCCTCGCCTTCGCCAATAAAGGGATCGAGCTCAAAAGGGGAACAAGATGCCAAATAGCAATCACAGACACCAGCTTTAACCCAACCAGAAAATCAGAAGATCGATGAAGATGATGATCATAGGATTCCGACGCTACCCAATCAATGATCGAAGAATTGGAGCAAGTCATATTAATCGAGCGTTGGCCCGAACGATAAGTATACCTAGGAACGGGATTAACCGGAACTCAGGAACAAACTTATTCAATTTTTTATCGATAACATGGATTGTTTTGCTTGGTCCCATTTAGATATAACAGGAATTCCACCGGATATAACGACACATCGTCTAAGCTTGGACCCTAGGTTTAGACCAATGAAGTAAAAGAGAAGACCTCAGTCCGAGGTAAAGCACGTATTCATAAAGGACGAGGTAACCAAACTTCTCAAAATAGGGTCCATTCGAGAGGTGAAATATCCTGAATGGTTAGCCAATATAGTTGTAGTGCCTAAAAAAGGGAACAAACTTAGAATATGTATAGATTATAAGGATTTGAACAAAGCATGCCCCAAAGATTCTTTTCCGCTGCCAAACATCGATCGCATGATCGATGCCACGGTTGGCCACGAGATCCTTACTTTTCTCGATGCCTACTATGGGTATAATCAAATCCAAATGAACCCGGAAGACCAGAAAAAGACTTTATTTTTCACCAAGTATGGAACATATTGTTATAATGTGATGCACTTCGGGCTATAAAATGCAAGAGCTACTTACCAACGCCTAGTAAATAAAATATTCGAGGAACAAATAGGTAAATCAATGGAAGTTTATATTGATGACATGCTAGTTAAGTCCCTGCGCACAGAGGACCATTTGACCCATTTGTAGGAAACATTCGAGATTTTAAGAAAATACAACATGAAGCTCACCCCCGAGAAGTGTGTTTTCGGGGTCGATTCGGGCAAGTTCCTCGGCTTCATGGTGTCAAATCGGGGGATCGAGATTAACCCCGATAAAATCAAGGCCATCGAAGACATCGCCATCATGGACATCGTAAAATCCGTACAGAGGCTAACGGGACGGATTGCAGTCTTAGGCCCATTCATTTCAAGGTCGTCAGATCGAAGTCAACAATTTTTCTATCTACTCAAAAAGAAGAACGATTTCGCTTGGACCCCGGAATGCCAACAGGCACTAGAGGAATTAAAACGATATCTATCGAGCCCGCCACTGCTTCATACTCCAAAAACAGACGAAAAAATTTTCTTGTACTTAGCAGTATCGAAAATTGCGGTAAGTGGTGTC